ATTATTACCAAAATAAATAACATGTTATTTTGTTGAATTAATGAACTGTATTCAGGATTATAAAACATTCTTTAAATAAGCATCATCACCTAAACTTACTTAAACTGACATAAATAAAAAATTTCTGATCACACAAGTAAATTTTTTTTTTTAAAAGCAGTTTAAAAAAATAAGATGATTTCGAAGGTGGAAGAGCGTCATAGTCACAAAAATTCTAAAGAATTTTACTTGAGTATAATAATATATAAAGAAATTTGCGGAATAATTCTTGAAAAGGAAAACATGAAAATACTAAGAGAGATAACGAATTGTGTAAAAGTCGAAGGGTATTATATAGAGGCAGGTTGAGTATAATTTAGATTTTCTTATAAGAACACCTAGTGATATTTAAACTTCTACTTCTTAAATAGTTAACATTAAATTATTAATTTCATCTTTCACACTATATTGAGTCATTAATATAAATGGTAAGAAGACACATTTCGAGTATGCAAATGTCAAATCAGTTAGTCTTAAAGTTAACTCAATACTCTTTCTTAAACCGATTCATCAATCAAACTTTAATGGAGTAAATTTGGATTTTCAAGTAAAATTCTCGCCATTCATTGCTTTCAATTAAATATTAATATCATTCAATTATTATATAGACAATAATAATCTCATATCACATTAATATCTCAAATATTTAAAATATATCACTCCTTAAACTGAATTATATAGAAGCATGTTATTTACAACTCCAAACTTTTATTATACATAGGCAATTAGTATAAATCTCACAAAGAAATATGTCTAGGAATAAGACTTTAGCAATATTCTCAGATGTGCCAGAATGTATCTGAACCAAATCAGAAATCCCCTAGATATTGATTTTGATTATGTATCAATTTTAAGCAGAAGTATAACACATCCAATCAAACCAATCAAGACAAAGAGGACACAACATTAACGTGGAAAAAACCACAATTGGACACCTCCAACGGTAATAAAAAAACCAACGGGAACGGATGCACAAAAACAATCCACTAAGAAGATTTAAAGGAATTACACAAGGTATACTGGCTCAATTACCTACGCGAATCGCGCCATAATTGAACCAACCTCTATGTGCCTCTTCCAACCGTCTTCACTCGGAATTGTCTTTCACGATGAAGCACCCCGGAATCTCACCAAAGCTTCATGCTCGGAATTCTTCAAATCCACCGGAAGCAACAACTCTCTCTTTTGTATAGAAACCAAAAACAAAAAATCCATCATGTACTCTCTTTAAAACCACGAGTTGAATTATCTCAATAAACATCAAAGAAACTCACAAAGTATTCCCCAGATTATATAAACCTAGAGCCCAAAAAGAAGAATTCAGGAGTCGTAATCCGAAATCTGACCCAACACGTGCGAATTTATTAGAGATCTGTCTCCGAATCTCGCTCGAGCGCCAAACAGCCGCTCGAGCGGCTTCAGCAAAATATGCGCGAAAATATAACAGAGGTCCGCTCGAGCGCTGGAAGAACCCGCTCGAGCGCAAAGATCACAAACATCTCAGTACTTTTTGCAGGCGACCAAAACTTGCTTGGAACCAGGATCTCCGCTCTAGCGGGCGTAATGTTCGCTCGAGCGGACAGGCAATTTTGAATGCATTTTTGCATTTGTTTCGGGGGCGCTGCCCCCTGGACCCGCGAGCTGACCGGCAAGCCGTCCCCGTCTAATCAGCGAAGTTGCATCTGAAAGCCATTAGCATCAACAAACTTCTCTAAAAGACACCAATTCGGGTTGGAATTCGCATTTAAACACTGCAGGTCTTCACTGAAATAAAATTGCGAAAATAAATACAACTGAAAGGAGTATTTGTCAAACGGGTTGCCAAAGAATAAAACCTAACAGTATCACATATAAACACGTTTTGGGGGTGAATATTTATAGAATAACAAATCAACATCTTTAAACCTTTAATATAATCTTAACTGATTATACTGGCAATAATTAAATCTCACAACATGGGTGCAAAAAACTTTAACAATCTTTGTTAGATGCTTTCGAATGGTATCATATATAAATACCTTTGGGCAAATATATAAGGACACATTCTACACCTATAAACAAGTCAAAACTAGCAAGAATGATTTATGAAGAATTATCTCCTTTGGGGTAGATAAATTCTTTCAAAAAAAACAATAAAATTTCCTTACTAGCGGCTCACACACCTCTAAATTAATACACTCAATTAACCCCTTTTGGGTAGGTAGATTGAGTGATATAATATTAGAAGGTTTCCAGATCCTTATTTGGTAAATCACTTAAATCTCAATAAGTTACCACTTCTGCAGTATCACCATATTGGATTCAAAAAATCTTCAACTGAGACTTCAAAATAAATATTTGTCCACTTTAAAAACATTATTATTTATTAACAATTGATGCAATCTGTAAACCCATCAAAGCATATATGAATATCATATTCACGAATCACTATGAAACAGTTACTCAAAAAAATATAGAAAATTCAAGCCAACCAGACAAATTTGCATATGAATTTACAAAAAAATAACCACCAAAGTGATATATATGATTAGCTCTTAAAACAATCTTAAGTTATATGTAAATAAATAAGAACGAATATGTTTCATAGTTATGCAAATATTTTGATTAGGTAAGATTTGAAATATATAATAGTATATATATATATATATATATATATCAATACAGATTCAATATACACATGTCCATACTTCACAATTTTCGTAAAACTACCAGATCTAAATTACTTTTTTTATTTATTTATTTTTTATTTTATATAATACAATTGGAAGCAAACTATCAATACTCAAACAGTATGTACTCGTTACATTGAAAAGGTTTGCTTGAAATTACTAAAGCACAATTTTGAGATGCAAAAACATCATTCAGTAAAAGAAATATTAATTTATTCCTTATCATTATATAAAATAATTTTACTGAAATAATCTGCCATGATTTTGATTCTAGTATAAGCTTGCTCTGATACCACATGTAAGATTTTAGGATCCATATACTAGAAATCAAAACAATATAAATATAAGTAACTACTAAAATATAAATTCAGATACATACCATTTGATTCCGTTATTGTCTTGAGTTTTGCTTCCTTGAAAGAATATGACATTCATAATTGGAAAACCTTAGCACCAGCTCTTCCCCTCTTTCTCCTAATTTTTTTGTTGTCTTTTCAATGGGGCTGACAACCCTTTGATCTACATATATATAGATATATGTAAACCCTAATAAGGATAGGAGAGGGGACTGAGCCTAAATAAAACAATTACTGGGCCCTCTGATTGAGGAACCCAAATAACTTAAAAGAGGACTTACAACTCCATATCACATATCCACATATAAAATAGTATATACACTAAGATGACAATGACCCAAACTTTATGGATCACAATAATAATTTTGGACTCATACCAATCAATCTATCTGAATCACGTTCAAGCCGTTTTTCACAAACCAAACAAAATATAGTCAATGACAGCCTAATTAAGAATAAATTCTTACATATATGTCTCATGGCACACTATGCGATCATCTTTACAAGTCTCAGAATCCACCTTTGCCATGGAACCTAAGGCTCAAGATTTGCATTGGGGCTGCACGAGGACTACATTACCTTCATACAGGTGTAAAGTATTCAATCATTCACCGTGATGTGAAGACAGCCAACATATTGTTAAATGACGAATGGGTAGCCAAGATTGCAGATTTTGGGTTATCAAGGGTAGGCCCCACCACAGCCTCATGCGAACACGTTTACACTGAGGTGAAGGGTACTTTCGGATATTTAGATCCCGAGTATTACAAGCATCGTAAACTGACTGACAAAGCCGATGTTTATTCTTTTGGAGTGGTGTTGTTTGAGGTGTTGTGTGGAAGGCCTGCTGTGAAACATGTGATATCAATTGTAGATGAAGAAGATCACGAGAGGGCTTCCTTAGTTGAGTGGGCACTCCGTTGCTATCGAAATGGAACCATTGATCGGATGATTGACCATCATCTAAGAGGAAAGATAGCACCTCAGTGTTTAACTGTGTTTGTGGATGTCGCAGTGAAGTGCTTGGCTGAAACAGGATCTAAACGGCCATCAATGAGTGATGTATATTGAGTAATTTGGAGCGGGCATTGCAGTTACAAGAGATTGATGCAGTTGCTATGGATTGTTCTTCTCTTTAGCATGTTACAAATTAATTCGAGGTATTGTGCATTTCCTTTTAAAGAAATGCTTGTAAATTACATTAGTTTATCCATTAAATCTTATAAGTAATTGGCACACAATCAGTCAAATCCATTACATGACAATTTTTATTTATTTATTTATTTTTAATTTTGTCTAGGCTTCTCAAATCAGTTGTACGTCTCCCCATCAAAATTGCAATTGGATGCCTTCTGTTTAACTTTTTAATTTTATTATAAAAACAAAAATATATTAATGTAAAGTCTTGAAATAAAATGAAGAAAGTGGTTCTAGTAGACAGAATGCCCTAGCTATATAATAAACTGATGAAATAATGAGTAGTAATAGACACTCTATTTTTGACCGCCTTTAAAACTTGGACGCTCTATCCAAAGCTCCCGAGATACAAAAGGTTGCTCCAAGACAAATCATTCCTACACTCATTTTGGCCAAAATATTTTCTGGATGCTAAAACCTATTTTCAAATATTTTTTTAAGTCAATTGGTACATTTTCATTCATTTTGGCAATTCCAGGCAATGTGTTTTTCCAAAAATTTCACTTTTCAAAAGAGTTAGCTTAGAAAACTAGAACAAGAGAGAAAATAGGGGAAACTTTCAAGAAAACCAACTAGATAAGCTTTGCTTGGCCATACATCATTTTCACAACACACAGAACCGCTTTGGCCCGTGGACGGGTGCCTAGATCTTTTTTTATACTACCGAACATTTTTCAAGCAATGCGCCGAACAATTTTGATCTGTGGACGCGTCTCTAGGTCTTTTCCAGCTCCTCCAAGAAAAATTATGAGGAAATATGCCAGGTTACTCTGTATTTGGCCAAACAAGTCTTATCCGTCGCATTTTGTTTTGTTGTCAGCCAAACAGCTTTCTTGTGAGGTATCCAAAGGATCTTAGAATATGTCATCCAGATCCATAGGGTCTAGAGGCATATTTCGAGCCCCAAATGCCTGTAAAATCACTCTCCCTCTTGAGGGAAAAAGGGTTCCAAAATTTTGAATCACTATTCCTAGTCCTCTCTAAACAATTCCTCCATAATTAATCAAAAACCCTAAAAAAAAGAGTTTGGTGAGAATGTTTGTGCAACTTTCTACACACTCTTCGGATCTCTCATCTCATCACTATTTCTTATGGATTTGAGTAGTTTATACTCATTTTCATGTTTAAGAGGGAGATAATCTCTCAATCCTCATTGGAGCTTCTTTTGCTCTTGTCTTGTCATTTTCTTAGTTTCCATTCATTATATTGTTGCATCCGTTGAGACGGGTCTCTCTTCTCTTTATCCTTACTCTCTACTCTTTGATAGCTTAGACTTGTTTTTACTATGATCATACTCTGATGATTAGTGTAGGAGCATGCATTCGGTCTTGGACCATTATCTTCAGATTAAATTATGTGTTATGTGCTTTGTTGATATCTATGTCATCTTGATAGTGTCCAAAGGCCCTTAGGATTCATTATGTGTGAATTTTGCATTAGATATTGCATCCAGAATCATGCATTTTTTTATTTTAGATTATTTTCTATTTTTTGCTTGGTTGGAGTACTTGGTGAGCATCACTACCCTTTTCTTTGCATATCATTTAGTTCAGCGTTTAGGATCCCATATTGTTTTCTTATCCTTTACGCTCTTGGCATGGTGTGATGAAGTATTAGGTGAACCTCTTTCATCTTTGCATCATGCTTGTAATGCTTCTTATTATATCTAGCATGCTATCCTGAGGTTATGTGCTTATTTGTTACATTTCCATCATTGCCAATTGTATAGAGGTCACATTGCTTAAGTTGGAATGATTTTGATATCTTTGCGCGGTGGATGCCTCGATTTTTCATGAGATTTCCTCATTTCCAATACTTTGTTTAAAAAAATAATAAATAGCAAGAGATTAGAGTATTCCAAAGTAGGTGATTTGGTCTATATTTGTTTGCTTCACATAGTAAATATAACAACAATAACTGGGTTATATGATCATGTCATGTTAATGATTCTCACATAATCATGTCATGTTAATGATTCCCATATCATAGATTAGGAGAGACCGATCTTTGATCGGGTGGAGTACTCAATTCATGACATTCCTCCTTTATACCTGAGTTCCCGAGTCGAAACACTTTAGTTACAACGGATCATGACCTTTGAATACGAGTCAAGGATTTTCTCATTTTTTCCAAAAGATTAAGTGATGACTCTGAGTCTGGTGATGTAGTCAATTTTTTACATTTTTTTGTAATTAGCGGATTTTCTATAGAATTGCCAGATCTAGACTCTTATTCTGTTTCACATTGCACTCGTTGAGAGACCTTTGTTCATTAACTCTAGCCAGTAAGAGACCTCAATTGTTTGGTCTAGTTGAACTTTCAACTGAAAATAAGTCATACCCTTTAAACAAAGAGCAATGCTCAACAGTTTTTTATCATGACTTAGACGGAACGTGATAAAATATTACTCTCCTTCATTTGCTTCTTGACAAATTTGTTTGGTTGAATTTTTACAATTTCTTTTATTTTTTATTTTTTAAAAAACTTACAAACCAATTTGACAAAAGTAAAAACCAAAAATATGTAATTTTGAATTTTCTATAAATATTTTTTGTCATAAAAAAAAAAGAAAAAACCACATGAAAATAATAGGTGTTGATCTTTTCAAAAAATTGACTTTCAATTTTCTAAAAATTCTCAAAAAATGAAAAACAAAATTGAAAATAATGAGTTTTCATTTTTTTTCAAATTTTTTTCCCCAAACTAATTTTTTAAAAATTTTGAAAAATAAATTCTGAAAACTTAACCAAATATCAAAGGGACATTTATAGGATCACACATCCAGATGGGCAGTGAAAAATTAAAAATAAATATATATAATATTTTAGAAAATTAAAAATTAGCATTTTTCACCCATATTCCCCATATCATGACTGGGATTAGACTACGGACTTGTGACTTGCACGAAATTGTCGAAACCCATCATTCGTCAACGTCGTCAAGCGAGGTTGCATCATTCAATCCTTGGCGAACTACGTTCCTTGCCGTTGCAAAACTTTACATCGATCTCGCGGGTAATGCCATTCTTTGTCGTTGTTTAGTTTCACAACGAACACATCGGTTGACATCATACTTTATCATTGCTGAAGTTTACAATGAGCTCGCGGGTCATACTCACCGACATAGGTAGAAAAAGTAGCGGTTTTGAGTTGCCACAAATATGTTTAGCAATGCACCATGTTCATCATCGTTTATTGAAGAACTAGAAACAAATGGCTGGTGACAACAAATTGAGGCAGGAACGAGATGTTCTATGGGAATGGTAAATGGGGATCATGAAGGGATTCGGAAGTTCCAAAGGGGTCCTTATTGTTTCGTTGGTGAAGTGAAGAAACCAAGGACCACAGGAATTATTTGATGTTGAATCTCCAACTGGCCATTATATAATATTTTTTTTTTATTTTAATATATATAAAATTGTCACGTGAAATGAAGAGAATAATGTTTCACTAAACCAATTTAGACTTTTACTGAATAATAATATAGATTTCATTGAAAAGCTTTTGTGGGTTGATTGATTCACTGCATTATTAAAAAAATAAATAAATAAATAAAAATAAAAATGTTAGTGTGATTGATTAATTAGTGGCTTTAGGGTTTGGGGTCTTGATTTAATATAGAGGTTGAAAGACCTTAAAAATTCTAAAATTGTGATTTACAATTAAGATTCAATTTTAGTAATGAATAACAAATTTCAATCAAATAATTATAGATCTCATTCAATTAAATAAGAATTGACTTATATCTATAAACAAAACAACAACGTTGAACTATACTTTGCACTGAATCTTGCTTTAATCCCTACACATGAAATCGTGACAATCAACCCCCTATACTTCTAGTCAAATTTCACTTTGATCCATATACATAAAATCATGGCAGTCAACTCCTACACTTCTAATCAAGTGTCAGCTTGCCTATTTTATTACTTTATTGTTTAAGTTTTTAATAGAATCTAGTCATGTGATAAAACATGTAACTAGGAAATGAGGGTAAGAGAGAAAAACCATTCCCATTTCCCACCAATATACACTTTGTCTTACACGATAAGCATGTGGGAGTTATATAATATGTGTGTGTGTCTTTGTGTTCATATGTTAAAAATTAGGATGAAGATGTAAGAAAATAGAGTTTTTGAAATATTACAAAAAAGGCAACAGAGAAATTGAAGATTCTATGACTGTGGAAAACAGAGTTTTATTATTCCAATTTTTGCAAAATCCTAGTTCATCTCTTTTATCATTCACAATTTGAGTTTTATTTTAGCTAAATACAATAAAAATTTGATGTAAACTTTTGGACGAAATGTGTATAGATTGGAAATTTGTGTCATTTTCTTCTTTTGCCCTCATTTTGTAGTCATTTGCTTGTCACATTACTAACTTTTGTTAAAGACTTATACGATGAAGTAACAAAAGGGAGACATTGACGCTTGACTAGAAGTGCAAGAAGTTGATTGTTACGATTTCATAAGTGTAAGGAGTTAATTGTCACGATTTCATGTGTAAGGACCAAAGTGAGATTTGACCGAAAGTGTAGGGGATTGACTATTATGATTCCATGTGTAGGGACCAAAGTGAGGGTGCAAAGTACAGGGATGCAAAGTGTAATTTACCTAAACAATGACAAATAGACACAACAATATAACGTGGAAAAAATCACAATTAAAGCACCTCCAAGTGGGATAAAAAATATCATAAGCCAAAGCCACAAAATAATCCACTAAGAAAATAAAGGAATTACACACGAGAACTCTCAATTACCTAGCAAATCTACGCCCAAATTAAATCGAACCCAATGTGGATCTTCCACTGCTGTCTTCACCTCAGAATTGATTTTGCCCAATGTTGAATCCACAATGCCGATGTCGAATC